AAGTAAATGACAAAATAGTCCTCCTCAAAACCTTGACATAACTCCTCTTACAAAAATGTTTATCAACTTAATGTCTTTTCTGTCTCTTTCATGTTGAGAAATACTGAAGCATGACTAGTCAATTTTTTATTTTTTATTTTTTATTTTTTATTTTTTTTATTTTTTATTTTGTTTTTTAAACTAGTCAATTTGATATATACAAAAATTGAATTTTCTTGATAAATATTTAAAAGGATAAATTACACTTGTGGAAAATGAAAATTTAGATACCTAACATATTCCATTCCATTACTATTTTTACCAACATAATTATTTTGAAATTTCTAAAGGCAAGTTTTGTTGGAAACGGGGTATACAAAACATAAATTTTGGATGAAATTTGGAATAGATTCCACTAATAATTTTTTGCAAATCTATAGATGAAAGCGTTCCTCTCCGCAAGGAGATGATGTGGTATATTTATTTTCTCAAATCCGTTTTCGGGTGAATGAGAAATTAGCTCTAAAGTGTGATGTTTTGATAAGCTTAAATGGGTATGCAAAATGTGGGAAGTGTTTGTCCCACATAGAAAAAAATGTTGAGACCAATTGAAGTTTAAATAAGCTAAGTTTTGGGCTTGGGCCTAATTGTAAAGTCCGATTATTTTTTTTACTAAATGGAATTTTGGATTATGCCTATTTTAGGCTGGGCTTTTTTAAATGAGTCTCACAAATGGGTGGTTGGTTTTTTGAATTTAAATTAAAAAACCACTTTTTAGTTTTTTCCAAATGGTTGCACCTTTTTCCGAACCATCGTAACCCATGGTTGCACCCACCTGAAAAGGCACCTTGCGACCTATAAATACCCCCATTTGGATCATTTGCAAATCACACCAATTCAGAATACTTCTTCTCATTTCTAAATTCTCTTCTTCTTTCTCTCTTCTTGTGGGTTCAAGCCTTAGCCTGTGGGTTCAAGCCTTAGTCTGTGGGTTCGAGTCTTATCTGTGAGTCCGAGTCCGAGTTTGAGTCAGACAGTACTATACCGAGCCGGTTCACCTATTCCTTTGGTTTGCAGTGCTACTACCAAAGGAAGACAAGTCGTTATATCTTGGGAGATAAACGTCACTGAGTCCGTTAGCACCATAGCGTGGTGAATCTGTCTTAAGGACATAGAATCAAATTCTAGCCTCGACTTTTAATCAGGTTATTTTATTTTATAGTTTTTATTTTATTATATTAAACTATATATTATAAGAAACGACATATATAGATTATTATAATAATTATATATATATATATATATATATATATATATATACATTATATTTTCAAATAATATTTAAATAAATAATACTATAGTATATGGTATAGTTAGACCATATTTTTAACTATAAGTTTTACCTTTGTAATCATGTATAGATTATTAACCTCTTTTAAGTCAAGTGAATTTACATTAAAACTTTATAAAGTGAAATAATAAAATTACATACTTTGTTAATGACTTCATATCGAAGTGTCTTAGATGGGAAAGTTTTTAATTTAACAACATAAATGGTCGGTGAAAATATAACAAAGGGTAAAATGCAAAAAACTCCCCTGAACTATTGGAGTTTTGCAACTAACCCCCTAAACTGAAAAAAACTTTCCTGAGCTATGATTTTATTGCAAAAAAACTCCCTAAACTATTGATTTGCTGCAATCCGGTAGGTGACTTGGTCAGAAATATTAAAAGACAAATTTACCCTTTTTAAAACTACATCGTTTTGACTTTTGAGAGTTGAGTTGAAGGGTTGGGTTTGGGTCGGAGAGAGAGATAAGGGGAGGAAAGGTGGTGGGTGGTGGTGGTGGTGGTAAGCGGCAAGTAGGGAGGGAGAGATTGGGTGGGAGACGATGAAGGAGTCGGGAGAGAACGTCTGCAGTGACGGCGGCCGATGAGGAGAGAGGGTTGGGTTGGATCGACGGTGTTATGAAGAAGTTTGGTTGTGATTAGGTTTGATGGCGGCCGGCGGGACTGAACGGCTGCAAGCTTGCTTCGGATAATGGCGGCCAGCGGTGGAGAGGACGGCTCACGGCCACCAGAAGCGACACCAACCCAACCCTAGATGATGCCCCCTCCAATGACTCCTCCGTTCTTGCCTTCACCGCCCTATTTTCGAGATTCCACCGCTGAACAAAAAATTCAACACCAAATCGCCATCTCTCTTCACCATCACAAACCCTAATTTTTGTTCTTCCCCAACCAGCCACCTCTACCATCCTCTCTACAATCCACCTGTATCTCTTTCTAATCCACCTCTAACTCCAACAAGAAATTGAAGAAGATGACAATTTTTTTTTTTTTTTTTTTAAGTTGCAACAAGCAATAACACCCTACTCTTTCTGTTTTCAAACCCTTGGAAGTTGGAACCTAACTTTCCAGCAAAATCAATGAGTCATATGCATAACCCCAAAGAAATCAATCACAAAAGCTACAAATTCAATTGCAAAAGCCCCAAAAATCGGTTATCGCCGATCACCAACCTAACCCAATCGTAATTGTTTTGGGGGAAGAAGAATATGTGGTGGTGGCAATGGTGGTTATGAACAAACGATGGAGGTGACAGCTATGTTCAGGTGAGTCAGATTTTTTTCCCATTCAGGCCACGTTGAGACGAAGATCAACAGTGAAGATCGACAGTATAATAAGGGTGTGTTTGGGTGTTTAAAAGGAGTGTCGGTTTTATAGGTAATATAAGGGGCATTAGTGTCTTTTCAAGGTTATGAGGGCATTATAGTCATTAAAATTATCATCACATGATGACCTTAATGGTAAGATCCGACCATAACAGTGATGGATCCAACCGGAATAGTGATGGAGGGGGTCATCTACAACAAAAATACATAATTCAGGGGGTTAGTTACAACTTTAGTAGTTTGGGGGGTTAATTGCTGATTCCCTAATAATTCAGGGGGTTTTTTGCATTTTACCCTATAAGAAATGTCAAACAAGATGGGTGTAATTTACTAATACTTTAAGTATGGAATTATATGGGGATGGGTTTTGTGACATTTGAGATTTAAGACAAGGTCATATAGTTTGTTTGGGCCCAGTTTGGTTGGAAGGTAATGGAAGGAAAAGAAAGGAAAGCCATTGGAGCGAAATAAAATAATATATTTGGTATAGACTATTAAAGGAAAAGAAATGAAACAGAATGATTTAGAATGATACAAATTAAGCATGATGCGTTGGTTTTGTTATCCTTCTAAAAATGAGAGGGAATGAAAAGAGAATGAAGGAAATGCTAACATTTTAAATGAAACTTTGTTAATACCAAATTTGTCCTTATTTTTTAAAAAAGACAAAATATATTGAAAATGGTATGGTAGTATATTCATTAAAATTGTTTGATTTCCTTTTCTTTCTTTTCTTATACATGATTACTATCATTTTCTTTCTTTTCTTTTATTATTCAATCAAACACGATAAATGGTTAACAATATCCTCTCATTTCTTTTATTTTCTTTTCTCTCCTAAGTAATGTTACCTTTATTTTCTTTTCTGCTCTACCAAACATTGCCTAGAGATCGAATTGAGGAGAAAAAAAAAGAGAAAGATGAGAATAAAGTATAGCTTATCTTGTTTTTCTTTTTTATTCATTCCCTCCCTTTTTTTAATCTTCTTCACAGAGTAGGAGCACAAAAGCGGCAATATTTAAGTCACACATAGTAGGAGAAGAAACGGATACACGCAAAGCGTGAGAGTAGTACCTAGATGGAACGGATACGCGCAAAGTGTGAGGGTAGTACCTAGATATGCGCAAAGCGTGAGAGTAGTACCTACTTAGAAAATTTGTGTAACTTAGGGCTAATAGTTCTTAAAATGAAGGGATTTAAAATAGAAGTTGAGATACTTAGTAATTACTTATTTTTATATTTTAAAATATATATAATGGAGAAAGCTAAATACAATGGGCAGATTGGGACTCTATAATCTTAGCTTTTGAATTTGTGAGATCAGAAAGGAAATACTTTTAATGTTCAGGAGTTAAACATAACTTTTTGACTGAACACTTTTGATTGGTTATATATGCAAAATTTAGAAAAGTGAGACCTCACTTTTTTCTAATATTTTTATCTTGCCCAATAAAGTGTAGTTAAGGAATTCTTTTTAACTCCTCCATCTAAGGCTATTAGGTATGCACAAATAATAGTGTGTAATTACAAAATCAAAAAAATAATAAATAAGAATAATAATTTTTTTCGAAATAAATGCAGTCACCTTCTCTGATTTTCTTATGTATCACTTTCCTAATTTTGTAATTGTAGACTATACGTGTATTTGTAAGTGGACCACATTAGCGATTAGTAATGATTTGCCTACTCACAAATGAGTAGTGAGTAGGCAAATCTTGTCCAAAAATTCATGTGACCTATGTGTAATTTGTTTAAATTTTAGGAAATGTCAATATAATTTATTTTATCGTGTTTTCATACAAAGAAAGGACAAAATTGTTATTTTATAAATAAAGAAAACTCTAAAGGATGTAGTTGAACACAGGTGCTAAAATTCAGGATGCCAAAATAATATACAATTGTAATTTGTCAAAAATTTAAGATATGTTAGTATAATTTACCTTAAAATTTTAAAAACCCATGTTGCAAAAAAATAAAAATAAAAATAAAAATAAAAAACAACCAACACTAAGAAGAAGAAGAATCCAGAATAGAAAAAGAAAAGGTGAAGAGAGAAGTTGTATGTGAAAAGAACCATCTTTCCTCTTCACAAGTGACACAACGGTTGTTTTGCTTTGCTTTCACATGAATATTGCTACGGTATTATACTCTATTTTTAATTCATGTAGATATATATGGTATTGTCCGGGGCCTACCAATGAATGAGATTTTGGATGATATGAATATTGCTAAGGTATTATACTCTATTTTTAATTCATGTAGATATATATGGTATTGTCCGGGGCCTACCAATGAATGAGATTTTGGATGATTTGAGGGATAGGTTCATGAACCTACCCTCTTCTGTCCCTTTCTATTCCAAAAGAAGAAATCAATACAGTATAAGAATCATTATAATACTCGATGCTTTTGCCATTTGGGTTCTCTCATTCTTCATCTTCTTCATCACAGGACATACAAAACAGCTCTTCTTTTGGATCATAATCGACTCATACAGGTCAGTATCATCCCATATTTCATGTTTTTCTCTCAATGTTCATAGCAAGTGCATTCACATTTTGTGCAGATCTTTGTTGTTTTTCCCTTATGCTTTTTTTGTGTTTTTTGATATTGAGTCTGTTTGGCTGTTGAGAAAAACAGTGGAAGTAGTAGTAAAGTGGGACTCTGAAAGTTTCTTTCTTTTGTGGGTTTTGGGTGTTTGTACCAGGCTACAAACCTTAGTTCCATAGATCAAACTAGCTAATGAAAAGGGGTTTGGAAGTTCTTATTGTTATTTTTCTCTTCTGCATTTTGGGTTCTTATTGATCGTGGGTCTGTTTGGCTGCTGAGAAAAACAGTGGAAGTAGTAGGAAAATGGGAATCTGAAAGTTCTTTCTTTTGTGGGTTTTGGGTGTTTGTACAAGCCTTGGTTCCATTGATCAAAACTAGCTAATGAAAGGGGGTTTGGAAGTTCCTTTATTGTTAATCTTTTACTTCGTTTTCTTTGAAGCCAAACAGTACATTTCGTGTCAGATCTTTTACTCAGAAACTGTGTCAATACGGTCACTGACTATAGTCTAGAATATACATTCAAGTTATTGCTCTGGCGAGTAGTTGTTAAAACCCTGGATTATTGCGTCAATTAACACCATTGATTGCAGGTTCATTAGTATATGGCTTATAATTACATTTTCCACAGCCAATGGTTCATGAATAATGGTTACAAGTTGCAGAACAATGGTTTTAATTTTGAATTCGTTATTTATTTTGTGATATCTGAATCAAGATGAATGGTTTTATTTGAAACTGTTAAACTGAAAAATCTATTTTGACGCCTGCTTGGTTGCGGAGAAAAACAGTGGAAAGTAAATTGAAAATGAACTCTAATTTTTTTTTTTTTTCGTTTTTTCTTTGGTGGGTTTTTTGTGGTTGTAAAAACCTTCGTTCCCCTAGGGATGGTTTGGAATTTTTATTTTTTGCTTAATTGCAGAAAAATTAACATGATACTGTCAGATGCAGTTCTGTTGCATATGCTAATCAATGATGATTTGTTTTAAATGATAGAACTGATATGTGCGAAAAGGCTAAATTAGAAGGTTGATAGAAATTTTTAGAATAAAGAAGCTTTAAGATAAGAAGGATTAAACTCGGGTACATGAAATGTAACTTTAGCATACTTGGAAATACAAAAGAAGTTATAATGATCAAAGGACAAAGTTAGACCAAAAGTAACCAAATAAAAAAAATGAAACTTCTTAATATCCTATTCTTGGTTACTAAGGCAGACCTATGCTAAGTCCCAGCTAAACTTATAAAACCTTCTAAAACATAAATAAATACTTATTTAAAATAAATTTAAGTTCAAAACTCAATACAATTTTTAATTCAATATCACAAGGTCTCAAGCATTCTCCGTTTAAAATTTTCCCAATTTGCATTTTTTTTCTTTTTATATTCATGCATTGCATCACATTCACATGGTAAGACAATGTGCAGACTTGTATCAATGCAGGACTACTTAAATTTGAATAAGAATGTGATTTATACCAATTGAGAGTGTGGTAAGTAGGAGATTGAATTTAGAGTGAAATATCACGGGGATTGGAGAACAAGCAGAAATATGGTAGACTGGTAGTGCTTAAAATTAAGCAAGAGAAAAAGAGAGGGATTGGGGTGTCTCAGCTTACCAAAGTAAGAAAATTTGCGCTTGTTAATCAAGAGTCTTAGAGAGTCTCACTACGAGGTATGACATCTCACTACAAACACAAAATGGTATAAGATTGTTCTTTGGTTCACCTGTTCCCTCTTGAAATGAGAAGTTACGGCGTAGTGTTACCGGGTTAATTCAGACAATCGACCCCTGTGACACCTAGTATGGTATGAGTAAGGACATTCATTGATGGCTAAGCTCTGCTTGAAGGCGATAATTGCATGACAACTAGTTGACAGCTAAATGACTACTGAGAAGGTAGTCTTATATAGCATCAATATTATAGTAAGACACCCATAAGTATCGAAACTATAAACCTATCCACACTAAACTGAAGTTTGAAGTCCACAAAACCCTTATCAAGCATTTCACCAATTGCTCCTTCACTAAAAACTAGTCTTCATAAACTTTCTTGAAGGCCATTTCCATAACGTGTAGAAATCACCAGAACTTAACGACATATATGGATAGGGATGATTCTTTCTAAAACTTGATTTCTTCTTATATTATGTGTTTATTAGTTGTATGATAACTAAATATATGTGACACATCCAAATTCTAGTTGTAACTCCTGTCACCATTATTTCAATGCCTTCTGTTCTTTTTTCTGAAATTTTCTCAATAATATTGATTAATTTGAAGGAAAAGTTGGTTGATAAGGACAAGTAAAATATTGCATTGGAATGGGCAAGAGTATTGGGGATTAAGAGCACTACAGAGGGGTAATAAGTAATTGGATCGGGAAAAAGGTTATGCGATGGTCTGATTAAGTTTGCGCAAAGGCTTATTGAACTTAAAATTTTCACTTGGAAACTTAAAATAGGCAATGAAATAGTTCATGCTCTGCTTAATCTTTAGTAATCATGTCCAAATAACCCGTAGGTAGTATGCTTTGGAGCTTGTGGAGAGTGGGAGTCCAACACAACTGGCATGGAGTAAAATTCCATATGTAGATGATCAAATTGACAGCAAATTTATTATATTCCATAATTTTCTTTGTACTTTTTCCATTTCTTTGTACCATCACTGTGCACATTGACTATTATGATTGTATAAATGTCACTGTTTCTCGATATTTGGCAATTATATACTTTACACCCCCTTTCCCCTAATTGTGGCTTTCAGGTGTTATTTTATAGTTAGTTTTTCCAGGAGAGACTTTTAGAAGAAATGCGTTTCTTTCAGAGACGAACTACTATTGGAGTTGACTCACAACTGATTGAGGACATTATGTCAGAGGGTCTTGTCTGACATGGAATATTTGGCCCCACAAGATTGAAAAATGTTGGCAGAAAGATTTCCTATAATGGCTCGTGATGTTGAAGACAAGAGTTCTGCACGAAGAATTCAGCATGAACTGTGGCCACTTAATGAAATTGATCCTAAGAAAGCGAAGTTCCCTTGCTGTTTTGTTTGGACTCCTCTTCCAGTAGTCTCGTGGTTGGCACCTTTCATTGGACATGTTGGCATATGCAGGGAAGATGGGGCTGTTTTGGATTTCTCTGGATCCAATTTTGTGAATGTTGAAGACTTTGCATTTGGCCCTGTAGCCAGATACCTTCAACTTGATAGAGATCAGGTACACTTCCTTGATCGCTCTCAAATTCCTCTCGTCTGTTAAATTTTCAGCTCTCTTTCTCTCTAGGACGTGCGTGAACAGTTGCTCAAACGTCACCATCATCATCGCGCATTTACTCTTTTTTTTGTTTTGTTTTTTTGTCTTTGCCCCTTTCATCTCATACTTGTTCCATTTCTGAATAGATTGTTAGGCTGACTTCTTAAAACTACCAATTGGTCCTACTAATAATTGTATTTTTAAATTTGAAATCTTTTAAACAGTGTTGCTTTCCTCCAAACCTTGCTGCGCACACGTGCAAACATCGCTACAGGCATTCAGAGTACGGGACTGCAATCACTTGGGACGATGCTCTGCATTCAAGTATGCGCTACTTTGAGCACAAATCCTACAACCTCTTCACCTGCAATTGCTACTCGTTTGTTGCTAATTGTATGAACCGGCTCTGTTACGGTGGATCCATGGGTTGGAACATGATAAATGTGGCGGCTCTTGTGCTGTTCGAAGGGCAATGGGTTGACAGCTTATCTATCCTAAGATCATTTTTGCCTTTCACCGTGGTGCTTTGCTTTGGCGTTTACATGGTTGGATGGCCATTCTTGGTAGGACTGTCATCCTTCTCTCTCCTCCTCTTTGGCTGGTTCGTATTGGGTTCATACTTCGTCAAAAGTCTGTTAGAATGCTAGATCCTTGTCCAAATAATGCAGAAAATTCTGTTTGATGGAAACAAGATTTTCGTCCGAGCATTGTTCATAGTACTTGAGAAACTGCAGAAGAAGCTGCGCTGATGCAAAAGCTGGGTTTTTGAAACAGAAATGTATTCTATAGGCTTAGAAAAGGAAACTGAACCATTTGTTGTGCATTTTTCTTACGCTAAGATGCTAAATAGATGGATTGTAGAGTTCTTATTTATCAATTTCTCATTAATCTAAAAGAAATATTTGCACCAAATTTTCTTCTTCATATGAATTACAGTGTGTATATCAATTGGAAATCTGCAAGTGTATATATCTACGTGTAAGTATATGCTTATATAGTGTGTGTGTGTGTGTGTGTGTGTGACTGTCCCCTGACTGCAAATTGGCTGGTCAATGGAACGGGCTTTTGCCAATATAAGATCATGTAAGCAACTTGAATCTGAAAGAGACAATGTGGATCAAAGAGAAGCTCAATTTTTGTAAGCTGTTGGCATTTTTACTCTTTAACTTCTACCATTCATTGAAACAAATACACATGAATAGACACGTGTTGTTTGTGCATATAAAGGCATATTTGAAAGCATGTATGTACAAAAAAGCACACATGTATGTTTGCATATATACGGTAATGTATACTATGCTCTACTCATTCGTATGGCACCTGTATACAAAGGATTAATTTACATTGCGGTTTTGGACTTTGCTTGAATGATCAACTTCAGGATATCCGGGAATGATAAAGGAATTCTATGGCAATGAATCAGAGATCATCATCTCGAAAGCTAAATCCCGCAAAGTTGACTACCCAAAGGAGCTCTCTCCGAAGTTTCAAGGACTCTACTTTTGGGAAAAAGCTTCAAAATCTGAGTCTTCAACTTCAGTGTTGAAAACAAAACTTGGAAATGATGCAGTGATGTTCCTGAGGATCGATCAAATTATGAACAAAAGAGAGTAATATAATTTTGGAGGTGTTTATCATTCTCAATGGATTGCTGGTACTAGAGTGGGATCTCCAATTAGGGAAGAAGATATCCAATGACTGAGAGTTCAATAATCACTTCTAATTAAATCTTGCAATGAAAAATTAAAGATATAACGTGGTCTATATTTCTTTATTTCTTCTTTTCCTTGTGTCGAGACTCGAGAGACAAGACAGAGAGAAGGTGGCGACTAAATGATCTTTGATTATTAAAAGCATAATTGTCATACTTAATTGATCAAAAATAAATATGTGAAATGCATAAATATAAACCAAAACAGTAGTATAAAAGAATGTGAAGACATAGGAGGAAGTGGCATACTTCAAATAAGGAAGAGTCATATTCTTCAAGAGGGTGGGATGTCGAACAACATATGCCTTCCATTCTTCTTTATTGATTTTACCATCCTTGTCTGCATCAGCATCAGCAAAAGTCTGCAGGAAGGATGAAGATCTTATGCGTTGTCATATATTCCAAACAATAAAGCAATAATCTTAGGAAGAAGAAAAACTCCAATGTAAACATGCTTACCTTGTCAATGATAGCCTCAAGAAGTTCATCGGTCAGCTTCATGTCAGATTCCATCAAAATTGCAATTACCATTTGCTTAACCTGGAATCAGTCGTAGTTTTTGTTTAGGGATATGATTGAAGAGTTAACTGTGGGTATCTGTACAATTGAATTAATAATTGTGGACAATTAGGTATGAAAGCATTGCCAAAAGATATTTGAACCTGTGTAAAACAGTATTAATGGTATAGCAACGTAGATTGAGCACAATGATAGAAAAATCTTAGTTTGGAGCAACAATAAGAGAGAACTGCTTTTTCATTCGGTTCTATAACCTTTTAAGTCCATTTCAAATTGCAATCTCTCTCTCTCTCTCTCTCTCTCTCTCTACACAGGCACACAGATGACATTATGCATATTACGCTTTAAAATATAAATTCTAGTTTCATTTAAATAATATATATATATATATATATAGCTTTAAACTATTAACCAAGACATCAAAGAGACGAGAAATGTGAATAGAAGCATAAATTACTATCGCCTGGACTCCTGTGCAAATTCAGTTGGACAAAAAGCTAGAATAAGAGATGAAAGATGAAATGTTTACATTCAATGTACCAGTCAAGCACATGGGCATTCGAGTGCCACATTAAGGCATCACAACTCATGTGAACTTCCTTTAATTGAAGGGAACCATGTCCGTTCTGTGTTCTCATATTCAATCATATGGGAGAACTTTAATAAAAGATAGATTGAAACAGTTAAATGCTAGAGTGTGGGACAAGGAATGGGCATCATTTTTTAATTCTGCCAGGATATTAAATCTGCTGACCGGTTCAGGGAGTCATTTGTTAAGAATATATATTTCTTGCACGAAGTCGACATTGAATAGAGAAACATGTTTTGTAAGTCTAGCAGCTAAAAGAAAAGTCAAAATGACATTTTTCATGGCTTACATGGTTTACTTATTGCAAAAACCCTCACCAGAGCTATGTCTAGAACCAAATAGTGCAAGAAGCCTCATTTGTGGCAACTTGACTTAAATGACAATACCTTAACAGTGAGTTAGATGGTTCTAATATTTTCATAGTTCCATGTTAAGATTGGTTGCTAATTACTACATATAATATATCTTTTGGAAATTAGTTGGAAGCTTAAAAGGCCTATTAATGCAATGAAGAATGTAATATCTATATTTTTCACTGGACATATGTCCAACTATAATTACTTTTGGCAACAATTACCAAGGGAGAACTTGGGCACTCACTTCTTCTCGTTCGATAAACCCAGTTTGTCTCAGATCATACAGCCTAAATGCAACTGCAAGACATCAAAAAGAAATACACATGGGTTATATCCATAAGATGTATTTCATTGTATGAAAAAAAAAAAAAAAAAAAAAAAAAAAAAAAAAAAAAAAAAATTGCCTCTGATCTCTTACAAGTTAACTTTTCTTCCATAGGGGCATAGGGATGGAAAACACTAAGTGCATGGACGAATTCTTCAAATTCAATCACACCATCTCTCTTTTCATCAAAAAGATCAAAAACCTGCAAAAGCAAGAGCTATGACTGAATAAGCGCATTAACTTAAATGCCATGTAGGTAATAACAAGTTCTTATTGTACTGGGCTTCACTTTATTAGGGCTGCAACTTGGGCGGGTTAGCCCAGCCCAGCCCAGCCCCAACCCAAAAATTTTGAAATCTGGACATACAATTCACAAATCAGGTTATGTTCGGATTGGGTTTTGTCAAAATCCAGACATATTCGGGTTGGGTTCGGGTTCAACCCGAACCCAACCCAAAACCCAAAATTAAATTTTTTTTTTTTTTTTTTTTTTTTTTCTCCTTTCTCTCTCCTCTCTCTTCTTTCTCTTTCTCTCTCTGCCGGAGATCTGGGTTGCTTCTTTTTGAGCCGTCTGGTCGTGGTTGTCTGATCCTAAGCCGGCCTCGATGTGATGTTGCTTCTTCTTTCCGGCGATGGCACCTGCCTCCTCGCCGGAGATCTGGGTTTCCTCTCCCTCGCTCCGGCGATTTCACCAGAGGACGGCCGTCTCTTTGAGACCTTCGCAGGGTACTTCTTTGACGGTTTCTTCTTCGGGTGGCGGTGGAGGAGGAGCTCTGCAGTTGGCATCAGATTCCGGCGAGTGGTGGTGGTGATTTAGAGGAACCACATCTGGGTTTTAAAATAAATAAATAAAATAAACACTGAGAAAATTCGGTTTTGACTTTTGATTATTGCAACAGATAGATAAACTGAAATATATAGGTTTTGAAATTCTGATTCTTGTAGATTTAGTACTTCGCAGTTGCACAGAGAGAGAGAGAGAGAAGGCAAGTTCAGAGTTGGGAACGAGAAAAGAGTTGGAGGCGGCGATTGGGGAGGCTGAATCGATTTGCCCTAAATATATATATATATATATATATAAATTTCCATAAAAAAAATTAAAAAAAAAATAAAAATAAAAATTAAAAAAAAAAAAACCTCAACCCGTCAACCCGACCCAACCCGTCCGAAAATATTCGGTACGGATTATGACCACAACCCATGTTAGGTACAATTCGGGTTGGCCCAACCCAACCCGATTCGGGTTAAGGTTGGGTTGGGGCTGGGCTTGGTTGGGCCAACCCAACTTGCAGCCCTACACTTTATAGAGAAAATGAAAGAATGAGAAAGACATATTCTCAAAGTTGATTTGAAGATTATAACAAATGCTAACACAGAGAGAGAGAGAGAGAGAGAGATATGCTCAACTTCTAATTCCATAATTTCCATTAGGGGCTAAAACTATTTGAAACTGGTCTGGAGATATAAAGGTACTTATGAAAGTCTTGGTTATTCTAAACCTAAGTCAAACCTCAATTACAAACATGTGCTATGTTTGAATTAAAATGGGTAAATTCAGATATCAGAAGTCCAAAGTTATTATGAATAAAACATAGAAGCACATATGTAGTATTCTTAAATATAAATTCAAACGTGATGCACCAAATTGGGAAATGCAAACGTCTTTAGAATCAAGCAAGAGTTGTCTGAACATAGACTTTGGATAAAAAAAAATTTGTCTGGACCTGGTTTAGTTTGTGTCAGAACTCAGAACAAGTATATCAGATTCTCAAAAATTGAAAAATGGCTTATGCGATTACCTACAATAGTCCCAAGTGTCAGAGATTTGATAGGAACAAATGCCATATCTAGATTTTGTTGGATTTAAAGGGCTCAACTTGGTTCACAAGGAAAAGTAATGTTGAAATAATAGGTCAAAGAATTTCTTATACATATGACAGCAGCGACCACTTATTATATACTATAAAAGTCCACCATCCCAATCTTAAAAATGAACACGTTAAATTCAAGGTAAACCATGATCCTAGTGAAGCCATCCTTGATTAGACAATGACCAAACCCTAGGCTTTGATAGAGAGTTAGCGCAAGTTATATGATTAAATTTAATACCTAGAGGGGAGTGAATATGTCTTGCAGGGTTTAAACTAACTTTAACTACCTTTTGAATTTTAACCAAATTATCAAAATTGTAAAATAAATTAGAAAAATATAATGAAAACATATTGATCAATCATGCCAAAATCATCACACAGTAATTATTTATACAGAATAAACAATAGAAAACATGCACAATGGACACAGATTTTTTACGTGAAAACCCTAAGCAAAAAAAGCCATGGGAAGTCGAATCCACTGTTAGAAAGGGATGTACAACTTGGTCAACAGTTTAATACCCCAAAACCCATAATTAGTTCTCTCTTTTTTCACTGATCCACTGAACTCTCCCCTCAAGTCTTCAGGCACACAGTTCGCTGTCAACAGATTCCGTTACTCACGCAATCTGCTTCTTCAATAGCATTTTCACCTACGGGTCCAATCATCTACACAAGCTCTAAAGGTTGAGTATTTGGTGTTGAATTTATGTTAGCCTAAGCAGAAATGAATTGCCAACACGAATATCATTCACGAATCTAATGGTAGATGATGAATGGATGAAAAATAAAAGGCTATATGTTCTCAATGTGGCCTCACAATATAAAGCTCTCTATCATATGTCGATAGATTCTCTTAGGGTTCCTGAAACAATGGATTATTAATAGATACGAGAAAGTAGTACGACAAGCTTATTGTAGTTTCAAATTGAAACGAAAACTTCTTTTTCAGGTAGGTTGATTGATCGAGTTCTCATGTCGATTGCCAGCATACGTCTTAGTTCACTATCCAATTTATACTTAAAAAATATTTAAATCCAGAACTTTTGTAAAACTCAAGTCTTAACACATATCAAAGAGGATTTTTCAAAATTAAAATATGAATTAATAAACCCTATTTAATTTGGTGAGTGCAATAATTGGTGTCAAATTACGTTTGCACCGTTGGTTTTGAAAGTTACTAATCTGCCCTTTTTGTTCCAACCCTACCCTTGATAAAAGGTAACTAAGTTGACGTTAACTAATTTTCAAAAATTTAACTAAAACTAAAAATAAATATTACAACTTTTGTTTTAATCACGAAATTTGGCAACCTAGGTCCTATTGTCCCAAGAAACCTAGAAAGAATAGCTCAAGGAATGAGATTAATGTCATATGTTCCACCTAACAGAGCAAAGTCTTAACAGAATTTCAGGAGACCTTTCTCTATCAAACATATAACAACAATTAACAAGAGTTTAGCTCAATCTATCGTATGATTATATGAATACTGAAATCAGAAGCTTCCTAGAATCTCCCGACATTAAACATTCACTCTCTATCTGGCCCATAACCACACAAAAATAGATATAAAAAATGCACACGCTTTTAGCCTTTTACACAGTTCAGAGCAAACAATTTTTACTGCCTTACTTTTCCCTTTTTCCCTTTGAATAAGAAGCTCAATCTCTTTTAAAGAGTTCTTTAGTTAATCTTCTAAGTGGCATTTGGTCAACTAAACACAATCAAATTTCTCAAATCACTAACTGGGATGTTCTCATAATACCATTCCTAATTCCCACCAAGTAATTGAAAATTTAAGCGACGTCTACAAGAATTAAACATAGAACAGGAGAAAAGTTGTTTTGACTTTTGAGCACTTACCCGGTCCAAAAAAAGATTCTTGCCATATGGATTTTTGAACAGTGCCAACATAAGCTCTTCCTACAACATAATAAACATTATGCAAAATGGAGATACAACAAATACTAGTACCAAGCTTTATGGTGAGTATATATAAGCCCTAATTAAGGGCAAGAATTGTTTCTGCAGTTCTGTAGCATGCTTGCACCATCAGTAAGGTCCAGCTTTTGTGGATTAGCTTCTAGAATACAATTGGTTTATGCAACGTTTAACCATTTACTGAATGAACTACTTCTAAAGACCTGATGTGCAATTATACATACAAAAGATATCTAGACCATTGAACTTGATTTTCATGATTCTGGTTATTACGACCATGTTATTGATGAAAGAAGTTCTTAAAAAGTGCACCATAATCATTAAATTTTCTATGAAATATTTTTAAAAAGTATAGACGGTTTTCAACCAAAGACGGTTTTCAACCAAAGCAGGTTTGAAGGAGGAATCATAACTTCTTGAAATCCTCCCTTTGCAGTAAAATTTTTACTTCCAGGACTAAAACGTTTTCTCCTACTCATCAAATAAATAAATAAATAAAAATTATGTTTGAGTATTAACTACATAACGTTCTAACAGAGCAAAAACTCCCCAAATTAACTTCACCATAATACAATAAGAGGCCCGTGTGAATAAAGAAAAACCCATTTTTTTCTTCTTTATATTGTGTATAACTATATTTTCCAAAACAATCTCCTTTTGAACAAATTTTGATAATAATATATGAGAATTTTATACTTCCAAAATGCAATGGCCCCAATTTTAAATCTATATAAAACTTAATCAAAATTTCAATTTCCACTGAGAAGCATAACTGAAATGCCACATAAATTAATAAATTTTAGGGTAGAGTGCAAAAAACCTCCCTGAATTATTGGCTTTTTGCAACGAACCCCCCTGAACTAAAGATTGCCCCCCTAAACTATTGATTTGTTGCAATTAAGGACAAACCCATCACAAAAGACTAATGTAATGTTTCCGTTTTTTATCATTTTCCATTTTCTGGGATTTTTCCTGATTTTTTTGGGGGTTAATTCCGTTTTGTCTCGATTTGCATGCCGGACACCGTCGGGTGTGCCAGGTGTGTTTGGAAGTTGGTTGGAGCATTTCCTTAAGTTCAAGACTCTTAAGAATACATGAGTTGCCATTTCAACATTTTTCTGCTTTTCGGACCTGGAGGTCCCAGGTGGGACCCGCTACCGGAGTTGTTGTACACGGAGGTTGTGTCATGGATCCATTGCATTTCATGCATTGTTATTTTGTGCATATTTATATGGTGGTATGTTAATTTGTGTGGTTGTAACTTAATTGGATTATATATATATATATATATATATATATATATATTAAAAAAGAAGATTTTTTTTCTCATTGGTGGGACCCACCAATGTTTTCATTTTTGATGGTCATAAGGCCATTTTGCTAAACCCATTTTCTCTCACTCTCTACCACGGTTCTATCTCAATTCTTTTTCTTTTTCTTTTCCTCACAAATTCAAGCAAAGATCTTGACTTTGTCGTTGAGAATTTGATTTTGCCACTTGAGGCAAAGTTGACGAGCGCGTCGAGATCTTCGTTTTGATCGGAGCAAAGTTCCGTCTGGCCACCATTTGGGATTTTGAATTTTGGGTTCAAATTGGGGCTTTTCATCTTTATTGAGGTAGGGGTGTTCTAATGCATGTTTCTTTGATTTTTGTGAATTATCCCAGGTGGGACCCGCTACCGGAGTTGTTGTACACGGAGGTTGTGTCACGGATCCATTGCATTTCATGCATTGTTATTTTGTGCATATTTATATGGTGGTATGTTAATTTGTGTGGTTGTAACTTAATTGGATTATATATATATATATATATATATATATATATATATATATATTAAAAAAGAAGATTTTTTTTCTCATTGGTGGGACCCACCAATGTTTTCATTTTTGATGGTCATAAGGCCATTTTGCTAAACCCATTTTCTCTCACTCTCTACCACGGTTCTATCTCAATTCTTTTTCTTTTTCTTTTCCTCACAAATTCAAGCAAAGATCTTGACTTTGTCGTTGAGAATTTGATTTTGCCACTTGAGGCAAAGTTGACGAGCGCGTCGAGATCTTCGTTTTGATCGGAGCAAAGTTCCGTCTGGCCACCATTTGGGATTTTGAATTTTGGGTTCAAATTGGGGCTTTTCATCTTTATTGAGGTAGGGGTGTTCTAATGCATGTTTCTTTGATTTTTGTGAATTATCCCTTATGAATTTTGTTATTTGCATGCTTAATTTTGTGAATTTTGTTCTTGGCAATTATGGTTAAATGCATAAGATGTGACAAATGTACTCCATGGAATAAATGTGTTGCTATATGTGTTTTATTCGAAATATGTGAAGGAGAATGCTAAGTATTAAATTGTCGTATGCCCTATATTCTCAGTTGCCATGAAATTGAAATTTAATTGTGAAAAATTGATGCTTTGAAATTCTTTCAAATATACAAGTATGATGTAGATGATATGTATGGGATTTTGTTGTTGAGTTGGCATTTGGAAGCATGAAGCATTCATGCATTCATTGGGAAAGAAAAATGGGAAAAATGGTTTTTGAAAGAAAAACGAAAATTTATTTTGGGGAAAAAGTTTTTGAAAAATGTTTGCGAAATCCCGGACACCTAGGAGTCGCCTAGTAGTCCGTGGCGTTGGTGTGGTCTAGAGGGGATTAGGGAGAGACCCTAGCGTGGTTGAGCTGCCTAGGCCCTTTAACGACGCCTTGGAGTTGCCATGTGGTCGGGGATAGTCAGTCAATCCTCCTTTCGTGACGCCATGGAGTTGCCATGGGTCGGATTACACTACCGGGTTGAAAGAGTGAAACGGTATTGTTTCGAAAACGGGGAGCAACATTGCATGGCATGGCATTGGCACATAGTGCATACTTGGTGGTCGGATGACTTGTTTACATATTTGTTGATGTTGTTAATGCTTTACCTATTTCCCGAGACATGATCCCGTTTACTTGTACTCTATTCTTTGCGTAGATTCACGGGGTCATAAGAGGAGTGTCTTAGACACTTCCTACTGAGCGGTTGGCTCACCCCATCACATTATTACACTTTTCAGGTCACGGGAAGGAAGTGGCGGACGACGCTCTTCCACAAGTTTGAATTAGTGGACTGTTTTGACATCTTTTATATATGTAATTTCATTTTTTTTTTTTTGTATAAGCCTTGGGATGGCACGTATATCGAGTATCGACATTGGAATTGACCGTAGTGCCCTTAGACGACCTCGGGTTCGGGTAAGGACCTGGTTAGCAATTTGGACCATCGGGTTCGGGTCATTACAAATTTGATATCAAAATAATGGTTCGAAAACCAGTAGGACGACGGGTAGAGGCCTACCTAGGGTTGTGTGGAAGGTGAATTGCATTATTTATGTGCTTATGTGTTAAAGTGTTTGTTATCTGAAAAGCATGCTTACTTGCTTAATTGCTTATGTGTTTACGGTTTTAAAAGGCATGCTTATTTGCTAAGTGTTCACATGCTTACGTGTTTAATTGCTAAAATGTGTGTTATATGGCCTTGACGATGAAATGTATAAATAATTAAAAACATATTAATTATGATAAGATGACAAGTGTGATTTAGGTGGTAACGGCAAGTAGTGAGCATGGTAGGTGCAAGCATGTCTTGTATGGTATTGTGACGGTTATTTAGGCATGGTTATGTAAGTAATTTTTTTTTTTAAATGAAAGACGGGGTGTTTAATTTTTTTTTTTTTTAAATGATAGGACACGATTGTATCATGGTATAGGGTACGGTTATTATGTATGTATGTTCACATGTGTACATACGGTTTGGTACGGGATGGTTGCTAGTATGGTAAAGTACTTGTTGTGGCATTGATGGTTGTGTGGGTTTTGACCTGAGTAGGCGAGGAGCTCGGTTGCTCTAGGTTTGTTTAGGTGTTGGTTCTTACCGAATGAATGGCGCAGGTCTTTAGCTCGTGGATCAAGCTATTCGGTGCATGGTTGCTTCAGTTTTCTCGTTATTTTTAGGGCGTAGTGCTTGGGGCATAACTTTCGAACGATTGAATATCGCATAGTGCGATGTCCAGGGTGAGACGTTTGAGTTTCATGTGTTAGTGCATGGGTTCCTGTGCTCGTGGATGTCAGGTGTACGAGATGAGGTTTTCATAGGAAAGGTATGACCTTAGGAGGTTGATGTTTGTGACTTAGGTCACGATTTGCTACTGAGGTTCTCTTCGAACCGGTTTATGGTTGGTGTAATAAAGGTTGTCTGAGTCACAAGTGTAGTCTATGGGTTCTAGACGTGTATTTCGGGTATCTTGGTACGGTCTAAGGAAGCGTGTTAGTTCTGATTGTTGAGGGGATTTGTTGGACTATGTAAGTCTAGGGTGGCGTAAGCATTGACTGGAGTCATGCCAGTGTTGGGTAACCGATTGCCAAGATGTGGGTCATTTTGTGGTCTTGTAAGAGTCTGTTTTAGAGACTGGTTTACCGAGGAGTGATCCCCATTTCGGAGAGTTGCAGGATTGTGTTGCGGGTAATTGACTCTCAGTGAATTGATTGTATGGCTCGGTTGATGAGCGGGGTTATAGGTTGGCATAGTTGTCGAGAGAGTCTCGAGGTGGTGTATAGTGGTCAGTTTTGGCCGTATAGTGTAGGATTGCATGATAAGGCATGTAGTATGGGGTCATTTATGTGATTGGTTATTTGTGGATGAAGTGATAGATGATGGGTACTGTGTTACCAAATGGACTGTGTTTTAGAATTTGAAAGTTGTGAACTGGAGTTGAATTTCAAATTGCGTCTGGAGTATCAGGAGGTGGTACTTCTTGTTTGAGGATCCGGTGGGATAGACAGTTGATTAGAATGTTTGGGAATAGAGTGATCTTGTAGGTGTAGCTGGTAGCCCCATTTGACTTTTGTCAAGGCCAATGGAGTTCTGAGGAACGATGAAGAGGGGAGGTAATGATGTTGAACTTAGGGTGTGAAATTTCCTTGACTAAGCGCGTGGATTGCCTTGGGATGAGTGGTTTGAGTAACCGGTTAAGTGTTAGTGACTGATTGTGTTGTAAATGGTTTTGAGGAGACAGTGGAGTGTTGAGCATTCTAGTTTTTGTGCTCATTTTTCCTTTGGGATCTGTCGCCATGGCATTGCCGTATAGAGGCTCTTCTCTGATAGTAAGTAGTGGTTGTTGTGGTGAGTATCGAGAGTGAGGCATACTCTCTAGTTGTGATGGTGTCATCCTAGGGATGCTTGAGGGGAGATCGCTTAGCGGTAGCTTATTGAGTCTGTGGGACGTGAGTCCGAGTTGTCGTTCAAGGATGATGGTAGTAGAAGCATTATGGCGTGATGTTTAGTACTGGTGAGCAGAATGGTTTAAGGTATGATCCGAGGATGGTTTAGAGATTATGACTTGTTTGTTGTGTGTTGTCACGTAGGTGATGGGATTGTACGCCAGTTGAGGCGATTGTGAACCGCTTAGTCTTTAGAACCAGTGAGGACGATGTTGCCAGATAGGCACCTTTTTCTTTTGACGAGTAGTGGATTGTTGTGATTGAGGTCATGGGTCTTGTGTGCACGGTGTTCGAGGGAGTGTCGCCTAGAAAGGTAGAGATGGAATGGGTGATCATGTGTCGTTGTATAGCATAGAGGTTATCATTTAAGGATGACTGGTCCTGGGTAGAATGGGACGCAGTATCCGATGGGCAGTAATCATTTCTAGTGTTGGTACGCTGTGAGCATTGATGTTCTTGTCTGATAGTCGCGTTGTGAGTTGTATCCTAGTATTCAATGAATGGGTGGTGTGGATCTGTTTGATTTTGGCTAGCATGGGTATCGCGGTGTAGCGTGTGGGAGGTTCCGGTATTGATAGTGTTTGACGGTCCATTAGTGGCGAGATCACTTAGATTTGAGTTCGTGGTTCCGTACGAGTATCCGGTTGGTTTTTCTCGTTGTATGTGTCCACGGTTGGACGATTGGTGAGCAGCAGGTTACATGGTGTCAGGTGCATTCGGGTACGAGTTGTCAATCTCTGGTGAGTGCGGGGTTCATTACCCTTCCATTTGTTCTGGTTCTGACAAGGACGTCATTTGTGGTATGTTTTTGTCCTTTATCTAGGAGTTATACACGTCCGCGGATAGGCCGACCCATGTGTAGGTTATTATGCTATTAGAGTTCACCGGTAAAGGTTTAGTTGAATGAGTCGACTCACTCCCACGGAGGGAGGTGGAGTCTTTGGTTTTTGTTATGCTTGTTTTGATAGTGATCTTGACTAGTGGTGTGTGAGGCACGAGTTGCCAAATAGGGATTGTGTGTTTCCGATGTTTGGTACTAGCGGTGATGGCTAGGGGATGTGTTGTGAACGATAAGTTCGAGAATGATTAGGTGATGTGATATGATGTGATGTGATGTACTTGGGTGTTTTTATAGACAAAAGTAACTTGGTAAAATTGGCGTTCTCAATTTGAGAGTCTGACTATCATTATATACAAGCGAAAAATTACAAATATGGAAAAGAGAATAAAATCAAATCAAAATAAAGAGAATAAAATCAAATCAAATCAAATCAGAATAAAAATAAAATCCCTAAAAATTAGCCTATATTGAAGACCCAATAAATTTGCCATAATCGTTGAGTCAACTTATAGATAAGATTTCCAACACTCCCTCTCAAGCTGGAGCAAATATGTTGACTAAGCCCAGCTTGACTATGGAAGACTGGAGAAGAAAAGGCCCAACAGACTTTGTGAACACATCTGCAGTCTGTTCTGAAGAAGGAACAAAAATAGGATTAATGATACCTGATCGAACCTTCTCTCGAATAAAGTGAATGTCTACCTCAATATATTTCGACCTTTCATGTAAAACAGAATTAGAAGCAAGCATAATGGCTGATTTATTGTCACAAAATAGCCTTGAAGAACCTTTCTGTACAAGACCCAACTCTCCCAAAATTGATTGAAGCCAAAGGAGCTCACAAGTACCTTGAGCCATAGCTCGGTATTCAGCTTCAGCAGAGGATCTAGAAACAACAGCCTGCTTCTTACTCTTCCATGATGTGAGATGATTATCATAGAAAGTACAGAAGCCAGAGGTAGAACGTCTATCTGTCTTACATCCAGCATAGTCTGCATCAGTAAAGCATGAGAGTCCAGACTGATTTCCTAAGGCATAGAACAGACCAAGACCGGGGCACGACTTAAGGTACCTCAAAATATGGTAGACTGCATCCATATGAGCTGAGCGAGGGGCATGCATGAATTGACTAATCACACTAACAGCAAATGTCAAATCAGGCCTTGTGTTAGTCAAGTAGATAAGACGACCTACTAAATGTTGATACATGGATGGATCTGGAAGTAATTCCCCTGACTCAACAGAGAGTTTAAGATTGGGGTCCATAGGAGCGGAAGCGGGTCGACACCCAAGCATGCCAGTATGTTAAAGAAGATCCAAAACATATTTCCTTTGAGATAAAGAAATTCCACGACGGGATCTAGCAACCTCAATTCCAAGAAAATATCGAAGAGGACCCAAGTCCTTCACATCAAAGGACTTTTGAAGATGAAGTTTCGCCTGAACAATCCCTGAAGCATCATCACTTGTGATAATGATATCATCCACATATACCAACAACATAATGCAACGACCATCAGAGCAACGTCGAATAAAACAAGTATGGTTTGAGTGGCAGTGCACAAAGCCCATGGATAAAACAACATCGCCGAAACGACTAAACCAAGCTCTTGGAGATTGCTTCAGACCATAAAGAGACTTCCGTAGCCTACAGACTTTCCGAGCATACTCAGCCTCAGCCCGAAATCCAGGGGGTGGATCCATATATATAGTCTCAAGTAAGTCTCCATTAAGAAATGCATTCTTGACATCTAACTGATGCAGAGGCCAAGAATGGGCAGCAGACAAGGAGACAAACAGTCGCACAGACGTCAACTTAGCCACAAGAGCAAAGGTAGCACTAAAGTCTTTGCCCGGAATCTGAGTAAGCCTTTTGCCACCAACCGAGCCTTATACCGATCAATAGAACCATCGGCTAAGTACTTCACATTAAAGACCCATTTGTAGCCAACCGTTTTCTCCCCAGAAGGTAAAGCAACAAGTTCCCATGTATTATTATGGTGTAAAGCATTCGTTTCTGTTGTCATGGCAGACACCCAATTGGGATCCTGGAAGGCCTCTGACACAGATTGAGGAATAGAAACGGTCCCAATCTTGCCCAGGAAGGATGTATATGCACTTGAAAGACAATCATAGGAGACATACTGAGAAATAGGGTGGTTAGTGCTACTAGAAAAACCATACCAATTAGGAGGATGACGATCATGGGTAGGATAATGGGAGGTACGCTCAGGAATTGTAGGAGCAATAGGAGAAGGAGAGTTACCTGGACCTGGTTCTGAAGATGATTCTGGCAGGGAAGGTTGAGTGCGATGGCGACGAGAGTAGACCTGCAAAGGTGGAGGGGAACCCTGCATGGATGGAGAAGGAGATTCCAGGACAGTGTGATTTTCAAATAGAGGAACAGGACGGGCAATAGGAGAAATCTCCTTCTCCAGATCACAAGAGAGAGAATCCTGTACCATAGAATTAGTACTATAAAAAGAAACAGTTTCATGAAATGTCACATCAAGAGAATGATACATATGTTTGGTCATAATATCATAACAACGATAGCCCTTTGACCAGAATACCCCAAGAAAATACACCTAGTAGATTTATCATCAAGTTTATGACGAGAAGGACTACGGTTATGAACAAAACAAGTACAGCCAAAAACACGAGGCAGAAGGTGAAACAATGTATAATCAGGGTGGAGAATCTGAAGTGGTGTCTTACCACCCAAAACTCGACTGGGAGTACAATTAATCAGAAAAGCAGCTGTAAGAACAGCCATGTGCCAATAGAATTTAGGCACATGCATGCCACTCAGAAGACATCGGACCACAGACATAAGATGACGGTTTTTGCGTTCAGCCACGCCATTTTGCTCAGGAGTATAGGGGCAAGTGAGTTGATGTAAAATCCCCTTTTTATTAAGTTCAGACCGGAATTCATTCGAAACATATTCTCGTCCATTATTAGAACAAATATTACGGACAACAGTGTTATACTGGGTTTTGATCATTTGAAGAAACTGGGTAAATAAAAGAAACACATCAGATTTCTTTTTCAATAAATAAACCCAAGTATAACTAGAATAATCATCAATAAATGTCACATAATATCGATGTCCAGAGAAAGCAGTACCTGGGGAAGGGCCCCAGACATCAGAATGAATAAGATCAAACATACTAGGAGCACGACTCATATGAGAAATATAGCTAGTTCTAGTATGTTTAGAAAGCTCACAAACTTCACATTGAAACTTATGGTCCTTACATGCTATTTGACGAAGGAAACAATAGACATAGATATTGAAAGTTTACATGCCCCAAACGTGCATGCCACAGACTAAAAGTGCGAAAAGAAACATCATAAACACTAGAAGTAGGTAGGACAGAAGCTTGAAGACTTGTTCCTGGTGGTTCCCCAAAGTAGTAAAGCCCATCACGCTCATAACCCCTGCCAAAAATCCTCTTCGAACAAAGGTCCTGCAACAAACAGTGATCTGGTAAGAATATAACTGCACATTGGAGGTTTTTTGCAAGCCGGCCAACAGATAAAAGGTTAAAGGCAAATTTAGGTACATGAAGGACATATGAAAAAGTAATATCAGGAGACAGACAAACATCACCCTTACTGTGAATATAAGATGTAGAGCCATCCGCAAGATACACAGATTGAGTAACAGGTATGACATTAGAAGAAAAAACTAATAACTCACCAGTCATGTGATCATTGGCCCCAGAATCTAGAACCCAAGTGGGCTGCTTGGCCTTAACATGAAATGCAATAGGAGTACCTGTAGCAATAGTTGCAGTGGGAGCAGTTGAAAGAGCACTAACTCTAAAAGCAAGGGAGCCAAGCTGGTCCTAGATCTGCCCAATCTGAGACTGAAGCTGGCTCAATCCAGGAAATACAGTAGATCCACCAGTAGTAACAGGAGTTTCTGCAATAGCCGCAGTACAAGAAGAACCAGTTCCAGATAAACGGTTCCTAGAAAATTTTTGCTTCAGTTCAGGATGAAGTTTAAAGCAACGAGCCTTAACATGTCCAACCCCTCCACAATGGTGACAAATAATCTGACCTCCGGAAGCTCGTGATCCAAAGTTGGCTGCAAAAGCCATACTATCCCCAGCAGGCTCAGACACTGGTACAGGAACAATTGAGGGCTGAATTAAACGGTGCCTACGTGCTTCACCATCAACAATAGCAAAGGCTTCCAACAGGGATGGCATTGGTGATGCATTCAAGATCTGAGACTTTAGTGGTTCAAATTCTGGGCGTAATCCCATCAAAAACTGATAGGTATGCTGACGATCAAGACGTTTGACAAGAAGAGAGGCTGCCTCAAAAGGAAATTCACTAAGAGGCTCATATTTAGCTAGTTCCTCCCAACGAGATCTCAAATACCCAAAATAATCAGTTACAGACAAATTCAGGCCTTCCTACAAGGCCTTAGCAATATCTTGATATAATTCAAAAATACGAGCATCATTCCTAGAATGAGCATACATTTGATCCAAAGCAGTCCACAAGTCATTAACAGAGTCATAAAATATGAATATATTATAAATGCGTTCCTCCATAGAATTAAACATCCATCCTAAAATGGTGCAATTGTCCATATCCCACTGAGCATATTTAGGATCTTTAATATCTGGCTTCTTTTCAGTACCCAAGATCCACCCTGATTTGCCTTTTCCACCAACATAGAGGCGGAGGGAATGAGCCCAGGATGCAATATTACGGCCATTCAACAGCACACTAGTTGAGCCGGTGTGTGTTGCGCCGAAAAGAGAGTTTTTTTATTATTACTTGATTCAGCCATAATATTAAATAGATCAATTCAACAGATTACCAATAATTTCAAATAAAGGAGGAATAGACCTGATTTTGATCAAACCAAGAAGCCAGAGACACGGCGGTCTGATCCGTAAATGCTGCCGAATATCCCGGTAGCCCCAAAAAATTACAAACACGTCTTCTGACCCTTAGTGCATGAAAAAGACTAAGGGAATACCCCTACAGGGGTCGAACCTAAAGGAGATTGACTCCCCCTAGGACTGTCGCAACAGCGACCTGAAAAAGAGAGAAGGTCTGTGAAAAAAAAAAAAATAAGGAAGGGGCTGTAACAAGATAGAGAGAGATATTAAAAGAAGCGGTGAAAGAGAGAGAGATGGGGGAGGCGTAGGTTTGAGGCTCTGATACCAAAAAGTAACTTGGTAAAATTGGCGTTCTCAATTTAAGAGCCTGACTATCATTATTACAAGCGGAAAATTACAAATATGGAAAAGAGAATAAAATCAAATCAAAATAAAGAGAATAAAATCAAATTAGAATAAAAATAAAATCCCTAAAAATTAGCCTATATTGAAGACCCAACAAATCTGCCATAATCCTTGAGTTAACTTATAGATAAGATTTCCAATATAGACGTTTGATTCGAGTAGTGTTTTGAGGACTAGTGTCGATATCGTCTCAGGATTATATGATTTGAAATGTGAATGTATGATTCCTTTGAGGAGTAATCGTAGTAATTGACTTTGGTTTTGAAATCTTAGGCATGAGATAGTCGCATTGTATGTTTTGATGAGGTAAGAGTTAAATCGAGTAATGTTATGGAGTTGATTACCTGGTATGGGTGTTATAAAGAGATCGGAGAGCCTTTATACGGGTCAATGATTGTGGTCTTTGGTGCCGTATTGTTTTTAGCTTGTTATGGGTTGTGTGATTAAGGTATGATTGGGATTTTTAGAACAGGTATATAACTGTATAATTGTTGAGGTTACGTAGAGTGATGGATTGATAGTAAGTGGATCTCATGATTGACTTGTGGACTATGTGAGGTTGTGTTTGAGGTTCGAACCTAAGGACAGGAACGACGTCTATGTTGAGACCGGATCGATGATGAGAATGGCCTGGCCAACCATTTCTCCTGAATCAGCCCCTCTTTAGCACAATGTCCGGTTAAAGGTCAATGATTGCTTTGATTTGTCGGGGACAGTGAGAGCACGGTATTGCGCGTTGTATCGGTGTGACAGTGTGGATTCGAGTGGTTTGTCTCAAGTGACGAGGTGTGATATGTAGAACCAAGTGTCCGATAAAGGGTTTGCGGTACGATCATTGATTATTGAAGATCTTGTTTTGAGGATTTGTGTCTTGGGTACTGAAAGTACAAAGAATTTTTCCCTAATTGTAGAGAGAGAAACTTTACACTCTCAATGATTTTTCAACCCCTTTTCCCTCTCAATCCCTTCTATTTATAGACGGTTACAACCTCCACTGAGCTGGTCCTATCTTGTTCTCCTTTGGCTGGACTCGATTTCTCTCATTTTATCATGGGCTTCTGAAATGGCTTTATGGACCTGGGCCCATACGGCGCGAACTGGCTTCATCCTGTTCGTCCACACCCGACCCATCCTATGCAATGTGGATCACTCCAAACCCGGGTCGTTTTGGTATCCTCATCTGCCCCCAATAATCTCTTTCCTCATTAATGAGGGTGAGATTATTGAAAGGACACGATCTTGGTCTGACGGCTTGGAGCAATAACTCGAGGAATCGAACGGCTAGCAGAAGAACCCAGGTTTCGAGATCCGCAGCGCCACTTTTTGCCTTGACCTTTGGAGTTTCATGTCGCTTTTACTTCTCCTCTTTATAAATTCTGATCCTTCTCTCCTTCACCCTCTCTCTTACCTCTTGCTTCTACTCCCTGTTGCTTTCCTGCACATTCCGGCGATCCTTTTTAATTTCTCCGGCAAGTTCTTCCGGCAAGTCCTTCCTTTTCGATTTTTAGCTACTGTGCCGTTGCTGAGTTCATCACAAACTTTCAAGGGTAGTTTCTTTTTTTTAAAAAAACCTCTCCTTAAAAGATGTCTTTACTGCCTAGAACTCTTCCCCTTTTTCATGGCTTCCCTTAACCTGAACGCCATTCGATCCAAGAATTGTATCCCTCGCGACGTTTCTCTCAGAGTCTACCCAACAAACTTAGACGAGAGATCTGGTGAGGGTCTTCTTCCTGGGGAAGTTTTATTCTCTGTCGTCCACTTGAACGTCATTAGGTTCCCCGTACACCCATTCTTTTGTTATGCTTTTAACAAATTGGGGCTCTGCCCCCTGCAAGTTAACCCAAACTTTCTTAGGGTAATTTCAGTCCTCCTGCTCTTGAATCATGACAGGGGTCTTAATCTTGACATTATTGACCTTCTCCTCTGCTATCGGATTAACAAGATTTCACAAAACGACTTGTACTATCACTTCTTTCCTATTGACAAACGGTCAATCTGCACTGATAAAAGCTCATTTGAAAAGGGTTGGAGGCGGAATTTAATTGTGGTTGGTGGGAATTGGCGGACTCCGCTCGGCCATTCCTTCCCTATCCCTTCTTCCTTTGGAGCCTGTTCTGTCTCTGGCTACAAAAAGCTGAAAACACATCCTTCTGAATGCCACTGTGAAAGTTGTCTTCCCCATTTTTGCACTTTTCTTTGTAGATGCCTTCAAATTCCCCATGATGAACTAGTTTATAGCGTCTGCAGGGCTAGGCTAGATACCTTGCAAGAAAACGTGCTGAACGATATCCCTTCAGCTACTGATTTGCTTACATCTGATAATCTTTCTGACATCTCTCTTTTAAGGTCTACAATAGAGAACATTCAGATCCCATCGTTAAGCAGAAGGAGGCGTCTTGCTCCCACCCCTTCTAACGCTCCTGCCGTTATTCCATCACCTACACCTGCTTCCACATCATCTCTTCCTGCTGTCTCTGCCCCAGAGCAAGTTGTGGTTGCCCCAGCTGCGACTCAAGTCTCAACCCGTTCTGCTGATGCACCCTTAGAGCTCAACCCTGCTGAGAACCCTGTTGTGGGCCATACTGCTAAAGTCCGTCCTGCTATCCCCGTCATTATGCCATCAAACATTTCGTCCGACACTTCTTCAGAAAGCACTCAGGAAATTCTGAGGACAATGGGGGGCCAGCTAATGCTGCTCTGTTGGAAAAGAGTTTGGGCAAAAGGCCAATGCCTGAGGGCGGTCATGATCAGAGTGATATCCCACCGACCCGAAGGATACGGATGGCTTCCTTCAGGGTTACTGAACCATCGCCCCCTGCCCAGTTCTTCATTCCTGAAGGCGAGTCGGCCAGAACCTCTGGTCCAATTCCATCCGTTCTTCCATGGTGACCTTTGCTCAGCCGTGAAGATGGATCAACCATTGGCCCCACTGACTCAATATATAAAGACCCCCTCACTTCGTTTGCTTTCTATAAGGGCTTCTGGACCCCCAAAGACCTTGAAATCCAGAACAAACTGTCCTTTGGTGAGATGTTCCAACGGTTCCCGGCCGCAGCTATGGAGGTGACCCTTCTTCCACTGAACTGTGTTCCTTTTCAGTTATGATTCCTTTGTACTTAGTCTGACCTGAATTTCTTTTTCTTCATGCAGACTCTGTTCGGGATGTTCACCTTTCAGAAAACAATTGAAACTCTGAATAAAAAACTTAAGTCTCTCTCTGTGAGCCTTAAAAGGTCTATTGAAGCAGAGACTCTTCTTGAGGCCAGAGTTGCTGAGCTGGAGTCAAAGCTTAGGGACTCAGAGAAGGAAGTTGCTGACCTAAAGGCAGAGAAAGACGGTCTGGCAAACGAGAGGGATTCCCTCAGAGCTGAACAGGATTCCCTGAAGACCGAACGGGATTCTCTTCATGATGAGGTTGACGTCTTAAAAACTGAGAAGAATGTAGCTCTGACAGAAAGGGACTCTCTCAAAGCCGAAAAGGGAGACCTTCAGCGCTCATTCATTGCTGAACGGTTATCGTATGCGAATTCCCAAGAAAAACTTCTGAATGAACGGTCTTCCCTGATGAACATGATCAGCAGAGTCGAAGGGGGGATGAGGGCTCTCCTTGCTCGCTTTACCAAGACCAGTGCCATCCGATATGCTGAAGGGTACAGAGACGGTTTTGTTGACCGTTCTCCCCCTGAAGGTGAATCAAGCTCTTGTGCTGGTCCTGATGAACTAGACGCTTCTCTGGACATCCACCCCCCAAACAACTATCAAAATCCACCATGCGACCTAGCCGAGAACATTTTTATTGAATGCATAGAAGTCACATCTTCAGGAATTGTCCCACCCTTTTATCCTCTGAACATTCTTCCCCTTTCTACCATCGTGCCCTCTTCCTCTGTCGTTGCCGAAAGACCTATGCCTGCTGAGGGGGTGATTCATCTCGACTCCCCTTCTAAGGATGATAGGGCAGATGGAGATCTCGATGGTCCAGAGGAAGATGGCGAGAACGACAAGCTACAGTCTGGAGAAGATCAGAATTGAGACCCAATAGCAGTTTTTTTTTTTTTTAAATCTGCATGTATGGTACTATGTACCTTGGGGCCTTTTTGGCTATAAATGATAATGTTTTTGCTCAGCATCACTTTCCTCCATTGAGTTTTCTATTTTCAGCTTTGCAGTGTTTTTTTTTTTTAACAAGTGTTTAACATTCGGCCATGTCACCATTCTGTCCTTTTCTTACTCATTTCTGAGCAAGTGTTTGGCGTTCGGCTTTAAGTGCCAACTGCCACTAACTCGCTGAATGCCTGGCGCTCGGCCTGAACGCCTCTTGCCACTTGGCTTTTTCATTTTTCGAGCAAGTGTTTGGCGTTCGGCTTTAAGTGCCAGCTG